AGTATTCGATGATTCGAGTATTCGATGATTCGTGTATTCGATGATTCGGTTATTTGATTATTATCCGTTACCGATTAAAAATAGGTTAAACATAAATGAGAAAAGTATTCGTCCCTGCACATGGGACGGAACAATGAGAGCGGGCCGTGATTCAAGTTCTTTTGTCTCGGAGAATTTTGCATTAATTCCAGAAAAGTGGTCCCAGACGAATATTCTACGTGCTAATAATAACAATCACTAGGCATTCATGGGGTTTTATAAAGCTGTTAGAATGCAATGTACGGGTTCTGTAGGAAAAGAAGTACCAAAGCAACATAGCGATAGCAGTGTAGAATACATAAATGATAGCAATAACAACAAACTATTTTAGGCGTTATCGTTGGATTGCGGATATTTATGTAAAAATTTATATGTATGTACTAATTTACAGAAACTGGACTCAAATAGAAATTTGTTTACCTTATTGAGGGTTCTATCAAGCTCAAAATAACATAACAGTTTCATTAAACGTGAGGAAAGTTTTTACTGTATAATATATTAATTAAAGACATTGGTTATATCCACAAAATGTGTTAATTGAAGTTTATTAAATGGATAGTGCATTGCAGGAATAAAATGTCTGTACTAAATAAAGGACTGTATAAAATTTGTAACCTGGAAGAATTCCCACAGTAAATCACGTTCTAATGATGTACAAAAAGAGAGGCTGCGAACACGTTATGAATTCATTAAACTGAAATTCAGAAATTCTTTACGCACAACATCCAAGAATACAAAAAACGCCTCCAAGTGATTTATATTCGCGAATCAGGATTTCCTTGTACTATCTGTACTTGCTACATACCTACTAAAATGTTTGCGATATATTGTATTTAACCATATGAATTTATTATTTGTAATCTACTAGATATATCTTTTAACAGTACGAGACTTGATAAATTTAAATTGGCCAGTATTCAATCTTATTGATGTAGTAACTAAGTAACACCTTTTACCATAAATTTTCCTTAATTCCTAATCTTTGCTGCTAAACCTTAATCTTTCCTTTTATTGTCTCTAGTTTATTTCCTTATATTTTGTTTCTTTTCACAATATTATGACATAGTTCAGTTTATCCTTAGCCTGGATTTTACCTCGTTCCTTACACATTAAATATATTAATATTAGGTTGAGTCATTTGTGAATTGAGTTTCTTCATGCAAATATTAACGTTTGCAGACTAGTTTGCAGAAATTAAAAACCAACAATGATTTATTTACTTTGTTAAGAGTTCTATCATCTTTAATAGAAAATAATATCCTTAATGAACTTTATTCAATTTATTACCACATTAAATTTTGGACAAATGTGTGAGCTATAGTAGTCTGGTCATAAGTAAGAAATCACTATATCACGTAAGAAACCATTTATCTGAATTAACGTCAATTATGAATTGTCTTACGAAAAATTATTATTGACTCAACCTAATGTTCCCCATTCCAGACTAAAGACTGTATAATAATAATAGTATATAGAACGAGAAGCCATAGGAAGATCAAACTTATCTTGAACTCTTTCAATAGTTGTTTTAAGAGGCCTCGCAATAAAGTTTCGAGAATAATTACGTTCCCGTCAAAGTACATTAACTCCACAAAGTAACGCTGATTTTACAGAACAATGAACGAAAAATGTCACGATCAATGGATCCGTCGATGAGATGCGTCAGCGCGTACAGTCTCAAAGGGATCACTTCGAAGACCATTCAATTCTCAAATAAAATTTTTAAATAAATTATTCTCGCAACTTTATTTGCACACCACGTGCAGGTATTAACCTAACGAAGCTAAGTTGTAGGGCAGAAACGAACTGTTTCTACGGATTTCGACGAAATTATAAATCATAATTTTTATTTCGATAGCAGTTACACGGTTCGGGTATCGGAGATGTCACCTGGGGACTGGACACTTAATTCTCCGCGGGTATTCCATAATCGTGGTAAACAAATCGTTCGTCGAGAGCGCATAGGATCGGAATGGGCGTTCCTCTCGCCGCCATTGACACGTTGATGAATACGTCTCTTGGCTGTCTACGTAACTGGATCATAAGGAAGAAAACAGAATTGGTCGGGCGTGACGATATATGTATGTACGTATTTATTATTCAGCGGAAGATCGCTTACGCGTTTCGCCGCGGGAGTGAGTGTGCATGATGTCATGTCAACAACGAGACGGGGAACAACAATTCGAGGATCCACGTAAAACACGAGCGACGCGTTTACCTGCCTACCGGGAAAATTTCCTCAATGAATCAACGAAAAATTGTATTTCTTCGGGAAAACTGACGCGGGCCAATGTGACGTCGTCAAATTTCATATTTGAACGTGTCCAGCGGAAAGAAAGAAAAAAATCGGGGAAGTTCCGGCGAAACACCTGACGATCAGACATTTCTTTTTTCTCGAAAGGGGGGAAGTACATACAGACCTGTCGGCATTCAAGCGACCGGGTTTAATTCACGGGGAACACGCAACTTCGATGTGAACATTTTTACCTTGACATGCACTGTGCTACCGTAAAAAACCGCATAAACGCATCGGACGATAGGGTGGAGTTGAATTGTCCTTGGTCGAAAGGATAAGTGAATTACATGTAATTCAATGACGATACTTGCATGCTTGTGAACAGAAGGGCAATTTGTCATGGAGGTTGTGGGATAATATAATCTTGGTTTTTTTGAGCTTTAGAACGAAGAGTGAAACTGTAATAATTCATTTGATTAAGAGATGAGGTTAAATTGAAGACACTATGAAAGTCGAAAATGTAGAGTTGTATCGAAGGATTACTTTTTATCTTCATAGACATGTAATTCGTTTCTTTGTGTTGTACATAGATCATTTTATTAAATGTCGATATAGTTTTAAGGAGAAATGTAGAACTTTAGATGGATAAGAAAAGTTTAAGGAAAAATTTAGTTGTTAGTTGTATTTATTCGGTAACTTTTTCAATTAAAAAATTAGTTCAACATTTATTCAGTTGTTCAGGGAAATTTAGTTATATTTTTGTATACTAAAGGATATAGATATAAAAATAATATACTAAATAAGTATCCGTTTCACGAAGCAGATTACAGGAAAGTAAAATTTCCGACTGCCTACTAATAATAGAAAGTTAATTTAACCGTTACAATCAATGAATTAAAATATTCTGAACATTAATAGTGAAAGTAACTCTTCGGAAATACATAGATGTGTTTCCTGGGAAAGAATTCGGAACTTGAAAATACATTATCTAACTAGACTCTACTATTTAAGAATAATAAGAACACTTACACTCCGATGTGGTCTTTGATGAAACGAAAAATACAAATATAAAGTATCTAAAAGTAACAGTGTACAAGATAAAATTTCCGACTGTAGTATAGACGGACAGAAACTTATTGTACTATTTATTAACCACGATTTGACCTGACCTATTTGTACATAGAGGAATGTAACACGTACAAGTAACTTTCCACAAGTAATATTTGAACATTTGTTTGCATATATATCGACTCATTATACAGAACCATCATTTCATTCTGACAATTGAAATTCTCATTTGATTATTGAAACTGACTTATTCATTTTGACTCACGATAATTGGGTATCTAAAAAGTAGAAATCCAAAATATTGCCATCCAAACCCTCGAATCCAAATTACCTAGTTACAATTCCCTCAAGAGTTACGAGTAAACAAATAAGAGACAATTTATTGACACTTCGTTAGAATCAGCGTTCGTTAATTTCCATCTTCCACAAAAAACATTTAAACATAAAATATACCCTTGGAAATCCAAAATATTGACATCCAAACCTTAAAATCCAAAATACCAAGTTAGACTACCCTGAAGAGTTACGAGTAAACAAATAAGGAACAATTAATTGTCACTTCGCTGGGATCAGAACGGAACACACAATTGCCTTTGATCAGACAGCTCGTAAATCTTCTACCGACAGCAATACATGAAACACCGACGTCCCAAGAAGCCGCGGTTCATCCCCCAAGATTGCAAGCAACATCCTACTCCATCTATTCCATTGACCTTTGATCGTGCCGGCATCGAGCGGGGCACTGCAATTGTTACTGTACACGGTGCACCTCCTTCAAAGAACACTGATCTGTCCCGTCCTGTTCGCGATAGTGGGGACACCGGTCCCGCTCGCCGATTGGCCAACGATCCACGTGCAACCGTCGAGGATCGGCGAGGTGAACCGACCGATGGTGTGGGGAGAGAGGTGGCAGGCTGCAATGACTCTAACATAATTTTTGAACTTCCACCGACCCGCGTTTTCATCACTTTTGCACAGAAGCGCACGCGGTACGCACCGAGAGAGGAAAGTGTTCCGTTGAACGTGTCACGCGTTAACCGAGCGGTCTTGCATTTCTACAACTGAACGTGATAGAAAATCGTTAATCCTATCGAAGACAACATCATCGTGGAGCAAGTCTGTTTCGTGCATATCGGACATTATCGTTTCTTTTTTTGGAAAAATAAGAAATTTCGTAAATCGACGAGAAATAGAACTACGGGTCTATCGAACGGTGTGTCGACGAAAAGTGTCAGGATATGTTGATGACCTAGAATTTCGTATAGTACTAAAGATCGTTCGGTTAGTTGAAATTTCCGAATAGGTTCGAGTGCATGGACCGCCGAACGAACATTGTGTCCTACCTGAACTCCGTTTCTCCCTTCAGAGACCAGACCTGGGAGTAATCGACCACCAGGTTACGTTTCGCGTGATTCTTGCAGGAGACTGTCTCTGTCTCTGGTCTGCTAACATTTCGTTTTCTTTTTCCTTCTTCTTCTTTTCTTTGCGCAACGCTGAAGTAACACCTGAGTGAATTCCCGCCACGCGTGTCCCGTACCCGTGGCTCGCGAGCGTTATACCTATAGCGCAAGTGGGGTTGTTGCCCAAGACACTTTTTTTCGGGTTCCATCTATCTGTCGGTCGAACCGAGTCGCGGTTCGAGTGAAGTGGCCGAAAGATGAAGGACTTCGTGATGATCTGGAACCGTTTCGCCGGCCGGCGTTACTCGACCGTAAATGTGAATCAGAATCAAAGCGACTCGAGCGAGTCCGAGGAGATGACAATCGCACGAAGGACTAACACAATCAGGAGAAAGTCGTCGGTGGTCGTGAACCGTTTCTTTAATGCGGCACTACCGAACGCTGTGCATTCGCCCATCAGCCCGAGATGGCCAAAGAGTGAGTAGTTCAGCGACTTTATATTCAGTTGCGAACGCCAGTTTTATAGAGTAACGATAGTAGACGTTAAATGGGGATTTAGTGCCCTTTTTTGGTGTGGATTTTATTCGGGTTCGATGATTTATTGTTACGAATTAGGCGATGAGGGCCACTTGGGGGACGTATTTCGAGGCCTGTGTTTATATTAGTGGGGAACTCGACGTGTTTTTTGAAGTTCCTGAAATAGAATGAGGATTTTATTAAATATTTACTAGTTGGGTGGGATATTGATGTGAATCGTAACACGTGTTATAATTCAAATGTGCAACGATCTGGTTTAATGTAAAATATTTCATTCGAGAGCACTGTTTGACAGAACTTTTGATACTAGTGTGTATGAATGCGAAATTTGACAGGTTTATAATCTAAATGTGCTGGAATAAGATTTAATGTGAAGTACTTATTTCTATTTGATGTTAGTTTGATACCTGTAGCTTTAAAGTGAAAGGCACCTGAAACCAGGGTTGGGCACATTTTATTTGAAATAAAATAACAAATAATCATTTGAAATAATGAATTATGTCAAATATTTTATATAACGAAAATTAATTTTATTTTGTGTTTCTGTTACTTGACTGAAATAAAATAACAAATAATTTGACATACGAGGTAAGGTAATATATTATCTAAATGATTATTTTTCAACTTCTTTATTTGGATAATACCTAACATGCTTAAAACATTGGTAGCTGCACGATCGGTGAAGTGTTAAGTTTTTAATTTCACTACATTTTGTAGGTAACTTCCTGATGAATGTAAACATTTGTTTTACTTATTATTGAGTATTATATCCACTTCGAAATTGTTTTCAGATTACTTTCCACGAGTAATCCGAAGAATTAGTTATCCACATTTATTATCTCCACGAGATTTTCATTGATCTTTGTACTATTCGCCAGTATTAACTTTTTCTAGCTAATTTATTCATTGCTCTCGTTATTCACAAATCGCGACGCGTATAATTTACCCTCAACGTACAATGCTCATAACAATTAACAATTACAATGCTATTGGCAATTTTATTAGGATACACTCTTATTAGGATAAGATCAATAGTCAATTCATGACTCGACATAATAACCAAAATAGTCTATTCTGAATTAGTTACCTACTCCGGAAAAAAATTTGATCTAGCTCATAACAATACTACCAAATTGCCATTTACCCAGTCAAAATTGTCATTTAAAATTGTTAAAACAATCCTCAATCGGAGAACCGTTCACCTATCAACGTTCATTAGCCTCGAATAACAGATAACAAGATCAATCAGATAGAATGTCATTCAAACAATTGTTGAATCGAAATCACTTCTAACCTTTCCCACCTCTCCATCGCGTATCAATGTCAATGTTAATTTACCTAAATAAACAACTTCGCCTCTCACGCAACAAAATTCTCAGGATAAACTGGTTTCGCTGTAACACCGTCGATCGTAATTACATAAAACTTCTATATTCCAATAAAAACACGTGGTTGAATGTGGAACACTTATCCAACGAATGTAGAAAAATGAATATCATCGAAACTGTATGATCTAAGACTTTATAACGACATTACGTAATTGTTTAACGATACGAGAAATTTAATGAAAATACGAATGCATTATTACATACCAATTAATTCATTTCACCGCGTGTTACACAATAAGGAAAGGAAATTCGACACGGTTGCTCGCGTTTCGACCACCTTCGATGCCTAAACACGAGGAATAATCGCTTCCTACTTGCATCCGGCAATGATTCGTAAACACCGCTCCAGTTACTGCGCAAAAATTGATCGAAACGTTGGATCTGATAATGTTACGTGCAAGTTTCGCGAGAAGACAGAAACACGATGCATATTACGGAGAGTGCTAGATGCTTCGCGGTCCTTCTTGCATTATGCAAACTTGCGATTGTTATTACATCGATGATGCTTTTTGCTTCACTTTCATACCATTGAATTTAAAATGATGTCTCGAACCATCGAATGAGAGGGATCAATCTTTGTGGTTCGAAGTACCCTGTATAGTTTCATTATAGTCATGTAGTCCGATTATACAGGGTGAGTCAATAAGAAGTATTATCTAAAATAACTCATTACTTATTCGTTGTATCAAAAAACGTTTCAAGTGAATCTGAAGGGACTCATGAAGTGGATGCAATTTGATATTTTTATATCTTACATTTTCTAAGATATCAAGAGAAACATTAGGTTTTTTCAAGGACAATAAGTATTTTTGTTAGTGCTGTGTTGTGGCCGATAATAAGACGAATTAAACGACCTGGAATAAAGTCTAGGAGAAAGAAATTGATTGACCTTCAAAAACTCAAGGTTACCTTGATATCTCAAAAAATACAAGATATGAAAAAATCCAATTGCGTCCATTCGATGAGTACTATGTTTCAGTCAATCAATTTATCAACAAATTCATTTTATAATGTGGTATCGCTGTCTGATTTGTTCCCATGGCAAATGTCAATGTTGTCTGCGTCGTTTACGAATATAATATCAATAAATGCATAAATAGATTACATATGTACATACATTTAACACGTGAAAAATGCTAAATATCTGTGTCCTATTTCCACCGTTAAATGATCTATATTTATCCACAATTAAATAGTTGAACTTGTGCAACTAGATCCCGATAAAAGAAATGCTTTATCTTATTATATTTGTATACACCATCAATGCCATTCAATCCGATCACATTCATTGCATTCGTTACAAAGTCATACAATCTAGGAAATCATACTTATGTCTCGACGATAACACATTGAATTATGTAAAGGAAATAATACTAATTAGAAGTTTTTTTCCGCTTAAAGTATAAAAACATTCGATAATTAATACAAAATTCTCGGAATGTTGCAGAACTACATCAATGCACTTGTATAATATTATACACACGTGTGTTAATCTAAATTATCAACACCTTTTTTAGTTGAAATTACATAAAACTTCTCGAGCCAGTTGGATAAAGTGTTTCAGTCTTTCATTGAATAAAATTACATTGACTTTGGTTTTGAAATAGAAAGCAACTAGCCTATTTATTTCCATTCTCAATAATAATTCTTTATTTTGTCGAATTCTTCCTGAATACGTGTTCTGTCATTTGTGTGTCCTGTGTGTCGTATACAACTCTGAGAATATCTTAAAGCATAAAATTTATATAAAGAACATTTTAAGAAATTAATAACTAGAACTGCCAAAATTTGTTTGAAAATTATTAAACCTAAAGGTTATCATTTTGATAAGACGAAAATTTGATAGGAATATATTATTGCCATACAAAATTCTCTACTTGACCTTTTTTACGATTTTCATTACCTACCTCAAAACTTTTGAACGATACTGTACGTGTCAATTCCTCCTGGACGGTTGTATTTGTCGAAAATATTACGATTGAGATCAACAAAGCAATTACGATACCATTCCAGCGAGAACAAAGGAAAAAGTAAGAAGAATACGCTTCGTCGCCCCCCTTATGAAGGTTTCAATGAAGCAATAAAAACGCGGCTCGCGTAGTTCATGCTAATAATCATTATCCTTCCTGGACACACGCGTTGGATAGCGAGCCGGAGACCGCCATGAAATCCTCGAATATGAAAAAGGCTTCCGTCTTTGTCCAATGCCATGAACCGGCTATTTTAACAATATAAATTAAGACTCAAGCATTTGTAATCAGCGCGTCGCGCATTACGTTCCTGTTCATAATTTATCAGACACTCAACACATTGCAAACCAGTTTTATCGCTGCTCATATACTCATAGGACCATTTTTATTCTTCGTGTACTTGACACACGTTTACGAACACGCTGGCTACCGGCGTTAAGTGACGTAATTATTCATCAGCGATTAAAAATTAATCTCCACGACAGGTCGTTGAATAAACAAACAAAAAAATTTGGTTAGGGCGTGTGAGATACCAGGTCCTTAATGATAAGTACCCTGATCAATTTTGAGCTTGTCTGAATACTGTTGCCATTGCGTAAAAAAAGGACTTCAGCCGTGTGCTGGTGACCGTGTTAATTAAATCTTTTTTTGTTTTCGGCATTAAACGTGTTTTCCGGTGAATTATTCCTAGGGAGATATCGTTGGCAAAACTAACGACTGGAGATTACTGAGTAACGGATCCATGTGCATGAGAATGTAAAGACTCGAATAAATTGTCTCAATGTAAACAGGATGAACATTTACTGTCCTGATATTTAAATAACAACATTGCTTTTAATGGGATGCACTTTGATGGTGCCTGGCATGATAAGAAATGTAGTGACACACTATAGTTCACAATATTGAAATGTGTGCACTGACTCTCCAAGTTTTAAACAGTATTCACTCTAAAAATATTGGGTTGGCTAAAAAGGTGACCAAAAGTGATGCCTTTTTTTTTAATTTTTCGAAGGACTGTTCTTAATCAGTAAACTGTATACGTATTCTGAAAGTTGACACTTCAACGAGTCGTTTGAAAAGAAAATCATTACGGCTGCATTGAACTTTCTCGAAATGGCCTTGTTTCGAAAATGAACGACGAAAACGTGTACTTTCGAGTACTTATTCTTTTTTATTTCTACGTTTACAGAAAATTATTGCCTGTTGTTTCTACCGTTTTCCTCTCTTTTAGGAAGTAAAAATGAATAATTGCTCGGAAGTACACTTTCTCGACACTCATTTTCAGAACAAGGTCAATTCAAGAAAATTTAACGCAATCGTGATGGTTTGTTTTTTTAAACGATGTGTTGAAGTGTCAGCTTTCAGAACAGGCATGCGTATATTTTATTAGTTAGGAGCAATGCTTTGTATTGAGAAACAAAAAAGCATCATCTATTGCAGAAATATGAGATTACTTTGTGGCCAACCCAATGAATGAAAATTTTCCATATACATGTGTATGTCATAAACAGTTTTTAATTATGTCTTTAGGTCTCCATCGAAGATATTTGACAATCATTATTATTTAATTTAACAACTGTTG